TCAACGCCGCCCATATTTTTATTGTATTCGCGTACAACTTGTGGTCTTGTAACAGTTACATATCTCTTAGTTTTCTTGCACCAGCGATGACAGAAATTTGAGTTGTTCTCAGCCTCGATAGTTGATAAAAAAATAACAGACCATTTAGTAACAGCCAATTTACCATCTGGCCTCACTAGCACATGAGTGCTACCTCTGCCTTCAGACTTCATTATTCGATCATCTTTTAGCTGACACCCATGAGGGATACGATTTTTCATCAAAGTACCTGTTCAAAGTACGCCTCTGTTGTTAAGTTCATCTGCCAGTTTCTGAGAAGTAAAATACCGATCGAAGTATAGCACGTGACCCGGAACTAGCTGGTCCGCAAGTGCCAGTACAGCCTTTTCTGCTAGACTGAAGTTAGTGTTTTTGTATTGGGGGTAAGTTTGGTTTCCCTGATAAATGTCCAATATGCATACTACACCATTCGGATTTGCCAGCACAAAAGCCTTCTCAAACCTGTAGTTGAAAAATGGAATGATCATTTGATCCACGCAAATATATTAATTTTTGTCTTGTAGACGAAAACTTTTCTGGACATCATCAATTAGCGGTCTCATTTTGAAGAGTTTATCTTTGGCTTTTTGTTCAGATGTGATATCGTCATCAAAGACAAATTTCAACAAGTTTCGTAATTGCTGGAATCGGTTACGTGACATGTTTTCAGCCACAATTGGAATCAGCCATTCGACCAGTACATACGAAGAATTGGATAGTTGATACAAGCTATTATCAAACATAAAGCAAAGTACATTTTCAGTTCTGATAATCTTAGATTTAAACTCTTACCAGTTAATCTAACAGCAGTTTGATTCGTCTTTTCAATACATATGGTTAGTATTTCATCGTCAAAGTATTGTCTAAACTCTAAAATAGTCCATCTTGGAGAAAGAATCTGTATTAATGGGCAGGTATGATGGTTCTGTTAGAAGAGGTTGAATCGGGGATAATTCTTGGTGCGACCAGCCCTCGTATGCAGTTGATGGTATATTATTATCTATTCTGCTGCCAGTGCAGTTACGTGTCCGCCTACATGACCTTCCTCTTGACTGCCCACGAGAAGCCCCCCGCGTGCCCCGCCTAGTCCTTCCGCAAGCTTGTATAAATGATGTACTTACGTCAGGTCCATCACTTTCTTTCTCCGTAGAACTGAAACTGCTTTTTGGTTGTACAAATTCTGGGTCTTCGTAATCTTCGTCGGAAGGTATGAAGTCCCCAATATCGGAATCTTCTAACAAATTGCTGATGTCTTCATCGTCTAGATCTGCGAAAAAATTCTCAATTTACCAAAAAGTTCTCCCCAACGTGATTTTTGAATCACATAATATTATTTAAGTTTCTTAAAAATACAATTATTAACGAAATTTAAAAATAGTTATAAAACTTTTTACGTGGTAGAGCCATGCTGCAGCTATATAAATGGTATAGTTGTAGCACGAATGGGATGTGTCGGCTCGACCGGGAAAGGACCACACTCTCACAGAATACCAGCGTAAAATAGCAGCTTAATGCTGCTGTATTTCTTTCTAATAGAGTGTCCATGATACAATATTTTGAGGATAATATTAGTGTATACATTAGTTTTTCACGGAAAACGAAATGCGTATTTTTTTCAATATGGAAAGTGCTGAATAGTGTTATAATTAAACTCCGATTAATATTTTGATTACATTATTGCGTCGCTACAGTATCAAACCTTACGGTTACTAGTGGTGGCGTAGCGTAGCGTATTTTATTATTTAGTATTTGCTTTTGTGTCTGACTAACTTCTTTTAGAATTTACACCAAAAGGAAAGATAGCATAAAAAAAACTGAAGTCACACAAAGCTGGTAAGAGTGTAGATACTGCTACTTTTGTATCGACGTTTTCCCTGTTGGTGCTGGGATCATATAATATATCTTCGAGTGTTTGTACTAGTTTTTTTTTAATTATTCTGCAGTGGTTTAACAGCCTCATGATGAGCAATCCATTTTGTCTTTGAGAGTCTTTTGACGGATACGCCTACACTTTTTATTAAATTTTCCCATTGACGTGTAAATGATGATAAAAAACCTGTAAACTCTTTCTACTGTTCCGAAAAAAAGTTAAACTTGAATTAACGCTCCCTAAGTGAGTGCACTCCACATAGATTTAACGAATGATTAGCACAAGGCGTTTTCTATGTGGTAGAGCCATGCTGCTGCTAAATGAGTAGTATAGTTGTAGCACAAATGGGTCGGCTCGACCGGGGAAGGACCACGCACTCACAGAATGCCAGCGTAAAATAGCAGCTCAACACTGATGTATTTCGTATGGTGAGTGTAGATAAACGGAGACCCTTTTTACTGGAAAAGAGGCATTACATCTTAGTCGTCATGGGTGACAACGCATTTGCATTTTGATTCGCTGACGATGATAGATGTAGATGTCTATGGGCCACAGCAACCACTTACCATCCGGTGGACTGTGTGCACGTTTGTCACCCTATTCTATAAAAAAAAACAAATATTCATTCATTTGACAAAGTCAAATTTTAAAATAGTGTTGTCATCTATAGCGTAAAATGCACCTCCTAGTTTTTAGGGAAAGAACATTCGTGTAACACAAACAGAAAATTTTTATTCAATATAGATTATAAATAATACTTATTGAAAGTCACTCTTTTGTTTAATTACCACTGGATCAAAAAAACCTCTGTCCTGGGAAGAACCAACAAGAAATCCAGCGGGAATTTTTTTTAAATAACAGCTTACAATCATGTATATTATACAAATTAACAACACAACAAATTAGAAATAGCTTGGTAGCTATCACCTCATTTCAAGGGGTTATTATCATCTATAAATTCTTTAATATTATAATAACCCTTTTAATACAAACTTAGGTTAATAAAGTTTTTGAACGTTAAGCAGGACAAATTTTGTATATTTTCTCGAATTTTGTTGTAAAAGCGTATACATCACCCCAAGAATAAATTACTGACTCGATGTAATCGAGTAACTGGTACTACTAGCTTGTGTCTGTTCCTAGTATTTACAGAATGAATAATCACTTATTTTTGTAAAACTACTTTTATTTTTGTGTACCTACATTACATTTTACAAATATATTGAGAGGCCAAAGTTAATATATTAATTTCCTTAAATTTTTGTCGCAGCGACTCTTTAGGCTTTAAATCATAAATTACTTTTATGGCTCTCTTCTGTAAAATAAATATAATTTCAGTGTCAGCTGCGTGTCCCCATATCAAAATACCATACGAAATTATTATGCTATGAAATAGCTTAAGTAAACTAGTCTAGCTGTTTCATTACTGGTAAGACTTCTAAACTTTTTACAGCATATGCTTGATTTATAGGGGCTCCATTGAAGCTTGGCATCTAATGTGATTCCAAGAAAAATGATGGTATCTACAAGATTCTGTTTCTCTCCATTTAAAATTACATTAGTATTTAATTGTTTGAATTTTGAGTCATAAATTTCATATATTAAAGTGTTTTAGTGTTTTTTTTTTCGTGTTACTTAATAATAACCTTAATTAAAATACAATATGGAATATAACAACTATGATTAGCGATAAAAAATTTAAGATTATTAATAAAGAAATAGTTCTAGCATACGTCTAAAATATTACTTTAAGTCAATAACTGTCTAAACGTTGGTAATGTTTTTATTTTGTGTAAACATTTATGAATGTTAAAAGGAGATAAAATACAAAACACGGTGCCTCTTTTTCTAAGAAAAATGAGGAACGTCTACAATGTTTCAAGCGCTCACTCCCTATGTTATATTATAACCTCCTTGGGTTTGTGACTTTGTTTGTGAATGATACCAGTGGTGCCAAGTTAGGCGATTTTTCGCCTTTTAGGCTATCTCGAAGGGTATTGGGGCGATCAAAAATTGCGATTGGCGACTGGTCGCCATTTAGGCTACTTCGGAAAAAAACAAAGGCGCTTTTTGGCTATATAATTCTCTCTCTTATTAAGTAACTCTATTAGGATATATAATAAAAATGAAATATATTTTTGACACACAGAAATATCAAAGAAGACTAGATTTGAAGGTATCGATGACCTAAGAAAAAGAGGTCTTAGAGCTATATAACACATATACATATTCGTTAATTTCTTTAATTGTAACTAAAATATTTAGTTTCAATTTCTGAAATATTAATAATAATAAACAGATGAAATACATATAAGTACTTTATGTTGATCTTGTCTTTTACGTTTACTATAAAATACTTAAAATTATAAATACATAAGGGATCTACGTTTAAAAATAGCCTTAATAGGCTAACTGACAATGAGGGCTAATAACTTTCTGCTCACTAGTTGACACTGAGATAAAGTTTTTTTGTTACACAGTGTCCTTTAATTGAGAAGTTAGTTTTTAATAATAGTTTATCATTTTCTGGAGTATTATATTATTACACTATACAATTCTTAAGTGGTTTGCTCTTTATTTTTTTGCACATTTTAAACTTTTCTTTTAATTGTACTTTTATGAATGTGTGTGATTTGGTTTATTTTTTATCTTATTAATATTAAATATAGCTAACAGTGCAGAAAGAAACATTACCCTTTATATTTTTCGAATAAATTAACTGCCTGCTATGAAATATGTCAACTAGTATACCTCACTTTTAAGAGGCGCCGCCCTATTGGCAGAAAAAGTCGTGGATGCTCTCATTCAGAAGGTGATCTTAGGCTACATTACAGAAAAAAAATTTAGATGAATTTAGGCTTTTTTACTTTTTTTAATTTAATTTTTACTTTTTTTTTTAATTTTAGGCGACTCGGAACGGTTTAGACTTGGCAACACTGAATGACACTGACAAGTGACAACTAGGCCTAGGTTAACTTTACGAATGAAAGATAGGTTTTTCTTTCCTTTTTTCAAAATTACAAAAGTAGATAAATAAAATAACTGAAATTAGTATGCGATAATCTGAATTTAACTTATAAATCATTAGATAATGGCTGACAGAGATTTAACTATGGGTCCTCGTGAAGGAGTAACTTACCCTATAAAGGTGCAGTATTGTGGAAATTGCTCAATGCCTATTGAGTATTGCGAATATTATCCTGAATACGATAAATGTAAACAGTGGCTTGAGAAGAATTTGCCAACAGAATTTGAGAAAGTGAAGATAGGTAAATATAAAACGCAGATTTTTTAAACTTAAAAGTTAGGTTAAGTGTATTTTAACTTGTTTATAAATATCGTATAATACAAAAGTGACAATACCTACGTAATACTTTCTGTAGATGAAGAAGAAAATGCCGGCGGGGAAGAAGAAAAGAAACGGCAAAAAAGGGGAGGCAAAGGTATGCTTAAATCTAAGAAAAAGGAGGATGTTCCTAAACTTGTACAAGTATCCCGTGCACCGCGAGGAAAAAAGAAGTCTGTAACTGTTGTTTCTGGATTAAGTACATTTGGTAAGCTTTTAAAATATTACTTCTTGACTAAAATCTTACCTTTATAACCTTATTTGGATATACTTTTGTATAATATTATATTGTGAAATATTTGTTTCAGACATTGATCTTAAAGTTGCAGCAAAATTTTTTGGTACAAAATTTGCTTGTGGTTCATCTGTTACTGGAGATGATGAAATAGTTATTCAAGGTGATGTTAAAGATGATCTATTTGATGTTATACCAGAAAAATGGCCTGAGGTAATTTTATAATAGTATAAATATACTTTAAACAAATTTTACAATAGATTATGAAGTTCATTTAAACACTACTTTTGTTGCTGGACTGGTTAAAGATTGTATGGAGCGCTCTGATCTAGTACAGTAACTCAAATATCTTTTATATAAATCTTGGATATGCATAATGTGAAGCAAATGTCAAGTTAAAAGGTAGATTCTTATATTATGCAGCATATTATTAGTAGAGTATATAATAATATACATAAGGTAGTCACCATCAGGTGAGATCTATAAAAAAACATGCTGTAAAAAAGATTACATGCCTGTCATGTGTTGAAACAGCTAGATTTGTTTATTTGGTACGACTTTCCATTGACATCCGTCGAGTTTGGTGTTAAGCACACACACAAAGTTTCAATATGCGGAAACACGTACTTTTTGAGAAAAAATATTGAAAATCAAATATATTTGCAATATTTATATCAATTCCTACCGTGAAACTAATGCCATTTTTTATTATTATTGTCAGTAGGGATGTCGATTCTTTCCGAAAAAGATGGATTTTTTAAATAGATTCGAGTTGTAAGCTGATGTATCGATTCCCAAAAATCGATTTCTAAAATATCTATATTATTTTCATGTTTGCATTTATAATGTAAATATAAATCCATTTTATGAGAAAAAAAATCCTTTCATCATAAAAAAATGATTGATGAACTGATTCAGAGGGATTTCTGTATCTACTTTGAGACTGCTACGTCTCCGGCGTTGCGGAAAGAGCTGCCTCTATGCCTTAGCGTAACAAATCGCAGGCATCCCTCCTCGCCTCCGCAGCTTCGGCTCGTCCGATGCCTACGATTTGTTACAGCAGGCGGAGGCTGCTCCCCCTATGCGCCTCCAGCTCTATAAAACCACTCTAGGGGTAGGACAGACTCGTACCAGGTGGAGTCGGGGTCAATCAATTCTTTGACATAAGTTGAACCTAACCTATTTTATTTGTTATCTGCTATTTTATTAGGTACTGTTAAAATAAAACAAATTTCAATAAGAGATCATTTATTGTGGTATCTTTCTTGTTTTTCATAAAATGGATTTATATTTACATTATAAATGCAAACATTAAGAAATATAGATATTTTAGAAATCGATTTTTTGTGAACCGATACATCAGCTTACGATTTGAATCGATTTAAAAATCGACCTCTTTCGGAAAGAATCGACATCCCTACTGACGTCGACAGTGACATTACAAAATGGCCCCAGTTTTACGGTAGGATTAGACATAAACATTGCAATAATTGATTTTCAATAATTTTTTCTCAAAAATGACGCGTTTCCGCATGTTGAAACTTTGTGTGTGTGCTTATAATAGTGTAACTTTTCTGTAAAAATATGTATCAACACCCAACTCGACGGACGTCAATGGAAAGCTAAGCCATTTATTTTAGTTATTTCCATAGCATAATGCCATTTATGTAATCTTGCTATGGGGTACTGCGACTGATATTGAGACTATCTTTGTTTTGCAAAAGAAGAATGCTGAAGGAATCCCTTAGAGAAAAATTTAAAGAAATAAATATATTAACTTTGGCCTCAATATATTTCCAAGAACTTATTGTATGCACACAAAACTTATTGTATGTATAAATAGTGTACATTCTGTACTAGAAACAAGCACAAGTTAGTTATACCAGTTACTTGACTCCAAAGGGTCAGTAATTCCTTCATGGGGCAATGTATACGCTTTTACAACAAAGTCCCAGATAATATGCAGATCCTTTCTATCAAAAGTTTTAAATTATTTATTAAGCAAGAATTGTCTAGTACTATTATTAGTAGTATTATACTACTAAAAAGAACATGACTGATAATAACCCCTGGGTATAAGGCAATCACTACCTTGCTGTTTCTTAATGTTTTCATAATAATTGTATAAAAAATTATAATGTAAATTGTGCTTTAAAAAAAAAGTCCCACTGGGTTTCTTGCTGGTTCTTTTTTTTTATAGGATAGGGTGACAAACGAGCACACAGTCCACCTGATAGTAAGTGGTTACTGTGACCCATAGACGTCTACATCTATCCTCAATAAAGACTCAAGATGCAGATGCGTTGTCACCCGTGAGGACTAAGATAGAATGCCTCTTTGCCAGTAAAAAGGGTCTCCGGTTCTCTACACTCACCAAACGAAACACAGCAGCGTTAAGCTGCTATTTTACGCTGGTTTTCTGTGAGAGTGTGGTCCTTACCCGGTCGAACCGACCCATTCGTGCTACAACTATACTACTAATATAGCCGGAGCATGGTTCTACCATGTATAAACTACGGTTCTTGCCAGGACTGAGGATTTTTTTGTGAATCAATGGTAAAAATAAAAAATGACTTTCAATAAGTATTATGTACTATAATCTATATTGAATAAAAATGATTCTATTCTATTCTATGCACATATTAATTAAAATTTAAGGATGATAATTAAAACCAATTTTGACTATTCAAATTATATTAATAAAAAAATGTTTTATTTATGGCCAATATTTCAATCCTCAGATAAGTTATTCATAGGATAAACACAAATAAATTAAAATTTACAGTAGTAGAAATAAAATAGTTCAATTTTTCACTTTTATTATTAATCAGGTTATAGTTTATTTCTTAGATAACTTTTACCTAAGTACCTTTACTCACATAAATCTATCAAGTAATACTTTTCCTTTTATTGAGTGATTTAGTGCCATATTGTATATTTTTGGTGAGTCTGGATGTATTGTAATTGTCTCTGTGTTTGTGACACTGCATTCAAGCCACCTGTCTGTTCTTATACTTCCTATATGTATTACACCAGATACACCCAATTAAATATAAGTCAATGCCTTATAACAAAAATTCCCCCTTCAAAAACTTCACCATCAAATACCTTTTTTTTCCAGATTGACGAAGATAGTATTGAAGACTTGGGAGACCAGAAAAGATAGTCAAAATTGTGAAAACCCAATTTGTTATAACTTAATTTCTATTTTAAAAGATGGGCTTCAACTAATGTGAGACACAGCTATATAATGTGCTATACTGATTTCTTGTTGTCTAAAATAGAAATTGAGCACTGGTGATTTTTTTATTTATTTTATGAGCTTCAAAATATAAGTGATTACTGAATACTTAGTTTTAATTGAAAACTAACTATAGAGCAAAAGGTAGGCCAAAGGCAAGATGTACAGGGTTATTTTTCAAAGACTAGCCTCTTAAATGTAATTTCAAATATATAAATAATGATATACCATTATTGCAGTTTTTGAAAATACGAGTAAATAAGGCTTCTACTTTTATTTGAAATTATTCCAAATTGAATGCGATTTATGAGCAACAACTAGGTGTACATGCGTGTGATTCTGTGATTCAATTCACAACATTTTTGTCAACTGATCGACCCCTACAAATGTGTGTGTGCGTAGTAAAATCATTTAAAATAATGCATTAACATGCATTTTAAATTTAAAAGATAAAAAGGGCAGAATGTTTTTTTAATTAATTTTTCTTCACCATTTGCCTGTATTGCTTATTCTGAACCTTCTCTTCAAATTTAAAAAAAAAAATATTTTAAACCATTTGAGTATAAGCGGCATTTAACCGATTCGTTGCGGCACCAATTTTCGACAACTTTTAGCTGTGGCGGCGAACAAAATTTTCATGACACGCCGGGCGTGTCAAGCGCTACAGACATGTGTAAAAGTAATGTTCTTTTTTTACTTGTTTAGACCTAATTAAGTTTATTTGACATCAAACATAAGTTACAAATGGAAGGATACTTGTTTTTAGTGGGTAACTACGTGTTTTTTACGCGTTTTCTTTGAAATTGAGAGAAAGTGACTTTTTTTATGAAGAGATTACAAACCTTTTGTACTATTTTTTGTTGTTATAAAAAAATCATTTATATAAGTAGGTACAGCTAAATCACCCTGGAAACCTTGGTTTTTATTAAATTAAATTTTCACCTAATAATAACATTTCATCATCATCATCATCATTACAGCCCTTCACAAGTCCACTGCTGAACATAGGCCTCCCCCAAAGAATGCCACAAAGCACGGTCCTGAGCCACCTGCATCCATCGACTTCCTGCATGTCTTACCAGGTCGTCACTCCATCTCGTGGGGGGACGCCCTACACTTCGCCTACCGGTACGAGGCTGCCACTCGAGAACCTTTCTTCCCCATCGGTTGTCGGTTCTTCGAGCTATATGGCCGGCCCACTGCCACTTCAGCTTACTAATTCGTTGGGCTATGTCGGTTATTCTGGTTCTACTGCGGATATCCTCATTCCTAAGTTTATCACGCAGAGAAACTCCGAGCATAGCCCTCTCCATAGCTCGCTGAGCGACCTTGAGCTTCCTCATACGGCCAGCAGTGAAGGACCACGTCTCAGTTCCGTAAGTCATCACTGGCAACACGCACTGGTTGTACAATTTCGTTTTAAGGTTTTGAGGTATGTCTGACGAGAAGATGTGTCGTAGCTTCCCGAACGCTGCCCAGCCGAGTTGAATCCGTCGATTGACCTCTCGGTCGAAGTTGGACTTACCTAGTCGGACTATTTGTCCCAGGTAAACATACTCGTCAACAACTTCGAGCTTAGTGCTCCCAACAACTACCGGCATAGGTGTGATATGGACATTAAACATAATCTTTGTTTTGTCCATGTTCATCTTAAGACCTATCCGTTGGGAAACACTATTGAGGTCATTGAGCATAGTGCTTAGGCCCTCCAGCGATTCTGCCATAAGGACTATATCGTCGGCAAATCGAAGGTGAGTGATGTACTCGCCATTGATGTTGATACCGTACCCTTTCCAGTCCAGAAGCTTGAAAACGTCTTCCAATGCAGCGGTGAAGAGTTTCGGGGATATGACGTCACCCTGTCTTACACCTCTCTGTAATTGGATAGGTTTCGTACTCTGGTTCTGTACTCGGATAGCCATCGTAGCCCTACTGTACAAGCACTTCAACACTTCGATATACCGACAGTCAACTTGGCACCGCTGAAGGGACTGCAGCACCGCCCAAATTTCGACGGAATCAAAGGCTTTCTCATAGTCCACATACGCCAGACATAGTGGCAAATTGTACTCTTCGGACTTCTGTACAACTTGCCGAAGGGTATGTATGTGGTCTATGGTGCTAAAGCCCTTTCGGAAACCGGCTTGTTTGGGAGGCTGGAAGTCGTCAAGTCTGCGCGCGAGACGATTCGTAATGACTCTCGAAAACAGCACGTAGACGCGGCTCAGAAGGGAAATCGGTCTGTAGTTCTTCAAGAGAGCGTTGTCACCTTTCTTGAAGAACAAGACCACCGCACTTCTGCTCCACGCCTCCGGTGTAATGCCACCATGGAGGACGGAATTAAAGAGCTTCTGAAGGACTTCAAGTACTGGTCTTCCACCCGCTTTCAGAAGCTCCGCTGTAATTCCATCCTCGCCTGGGGCCTTACCGTTTTTAAGGTGCTGGAGAGCCATTCTAATCTCGCTCAGACTGACGTCCGGGATATCTTCGGAATAGTGTCGGATGAGACTCGCTCTTGGATCGTTACTCACACTTGCGTGTGGCTCCAACGATGACGTGTACAGCTGCCCATAGAACCTCTCAATCTCACTCAAAATCTCAGGTGTCCCGGAAACGATGCTGCCACATTCTGTCTTCAGCTTTGACAGTTGGCTCTTTCTGGCAGACAGATCTCTGGCAAAGACTTTGGAGCCTTGGTTCCGCTCGATCGCTTCTTCAATACGAGCTGTATTGAAGTTGCGTAAGTCCCGCCGCATGCATTTGGAGATCTGTCTGTTCAGATGCCTGTATGCTGTCAAGTCTGTTGAAGAATGTAGCTTCATCTCCCGTCTAACAGCCATGAGATTAAGAGTGTGATCGGAGAGTTTTTGTGTTCTTCTGCGGCGGGTCTTGCAGAACTTAGCTCCGACCGCATGGACAGTTTCCACGAGCTTGTCATTCATATCGTCCACTTCATTGCAGTCTTCTAGGCACTGAAAACGGTTTTGTAACTCGAGCTGAAAGGTTTCGGGACTTTGGATTAGAGCACGAGGGGGACGGAGCGTTGACTTCATTAGACGAGACCTCTCCAACTTAACGTTTAGGTTCAGTGTGCCTCTAACCATTCGGTGATCGCTACCAGTTTTCACCCTTGCGATCACGGAGACATCACTGAACAGTTGTCGTCTGGTCGTCATAATGAAGTCAATCTCATTTTTTGTCGAACCGTCGGGGCTCGACCAGGTCCACTTCCTGTGGGGCCGCTTCTGGAAGAAAGAGTTCATCATAAAGAGTCCCTCTTTCTCCATGAAGTCGGCCAGCTGCTGGCCCCTTGGGTTCCGTTGCCCTATTCCAAATTTCCCTACTTTCAGCTCACCGTTCTCTCTTGTGCCTAGTTTTGCATTGAAGTCTCCCATTAACACCGTATATTGGGTTTTGGAGGAATGCATGGCTCTAGAGATATCCTCATACATTTCCTCCACCTCCTGATCGGGGTGTGCCGAGGTTGGTGCGTAAACCTGTATGACCTTCAGCGAATACCGTTTGGTGATTCTGAGTATAAGGTACGCAACCCTCGTCGACACACTCCCGATCTTTACAACGTTGTTAACGAGAGACTTGTGGACAATAAATCCGACACCTCCTTGGGACAGATGGTCGCCCTCCCGGTGATAGAGCAAGTTGCCGGATTCGAGGATTACCGTGTCCTCCCCCTCTCTTCGGACTTCGGATAATCCTATAATATGCCAGCGCAACTTGTCTATCTCTTCTTCCAGCTCCACGATCTTCTCGTCAGTCCTCAGGGTGCGTGCGTTGTACGTTGCCAGGTCGAGTCGTCTAAGGTGGCAACCGAACCTCCACCGGAGATTCTTAGCACCCCCTGCCCCGCCGTTACCATGGTCGCCACCGTAGCCAGGAATAGCGGGGCCGCCGGGGACTGGGGGCCGTCTGTTTGTTGCTTTAGTCATTGGGGGGTATTTGCCATAGTTGCCACGCTTGGCGAGCGGGTTGGCAACCGCAGTTTTTTATTATAATTTTTGGCTATTATCAGGAAGATGCTGCTGCCCATCTTCTGCCTGTTTCCCTTTGTCGCCTTTTACGACACCCACGGGAGGATATGGGGTAGTGGATATTCTTGACCGCCACTACACGGCTATATATAATAACATTTGTAAATATCAAATAATGAAGAACCTTAATTTGAAAAAAATATAAGGTATATCATTCATTGATATTTACAAATGTTAAATATTATTTAATGTTATACAAATGTAAAAGTAAAGTCGATCTGAAAACGTCTAATTAGTAAGAATAGCAAAACAAGTGTTTTCAAAAGGAAAAAAACGCCGGCGCTATACGGCGGCAGATTGACAAAAGACTATTTATTAGCGAACTTTTTTTATGAACAGGAGACTTGTTTTCCAGAAATTTATTTACAACTTGAGTTTGTGAGCGATCGCAATGAGTGCTATTATTTGTTACTTATTAGCCAATCTTTCCATAACATCATTTAAAACCCACATAGTAGAAATAGTACCATGTACACGTTAAAAAAAGGTTGTCAACCCCTAAAAATTTCAAATTTTCTAAATATCCAGAAACGAAGCTGCATGCATGAACTACTCGCAAAATAATGAATATTTTGTTCTGGATAAATTTTCCAAAAAAGCAATTTAAGCGTGTTATAACTATTTAAAAAAAGACACGACTCGCGTGTCATACGCCACACACAAAAGTAATCGATGGCACGCCTGGCGTGTCGCTCGCACTGAACCGGTTAAAGTAATTGAACCAGAAGCTCTGGAAGAAAAGGATGGTGGTAGCAAGATAAGTATAGATGAAATAATAAAAAAGCAGCGCCAGGGTAAGAGGGTAAAGTTGGAATATGGTAAGTCATATTTTGTGATTTGGCCGTGAACTGCCTCTTGTATGCCGATGATCAAGTC